TGTGTTTTAACAAGTTTTGTATCAGGGAGTAATAAACATAGTTTTTCCTTTATGGTACAAAAAAAACACAATTTTGCAAGCCACTGCCATAGCCACTTATATAGTTTCTGATGCTGTAGATCTTTAAGAGGAATCCTGGTGTGGTGCTGTGGGTTAATGCGCTGGACTGCAAAGTCGGCTTGAACTGCAAAGTTGGTAGTTCAAGCTCACCGGTTGTTCCTCGGAAATCCTGTACAGGGTCGCTATGGGTTAGAATCAGCTCAACGACACTTGACAACAACAAGACCTTTAAGAGGGTGGAAAGTCTCCTCTTTTTCTTCTGGAGTAGCTGGCATATTTGAACTGCCAACCATGCAGTTAGAAGTCTTGTGCTTACTGGAGTTTTCAATTATACTTAATTAACCATTTGTGCATTTTGAAGTAGTGCTTACAAGCAGCAATTTGAAATGTAACACACTCTGCCTTTACATGCCCTTTGTCTCTAACCAGGTCACAAATAACTCTTAAGTGCCTAGGATGTGTTTTACATTTCCATAAATAGTTTATTCTAACACTCTGTTCTTACACAGAATGGCATGAATATTAGAGATACTTGTTAAACAATGACGTATTAGGTGAAGGACTATTGTTAATATGGTTGTTATTGAGTTCCTTTGAGTTAGTTGCAACTCATAGTGACAATAGAACAGTCCTTTGTGATTGTCACAGTAGTGGTTATATTTGAGCCCATTGGTGCTGTCACTGTGTCACTTTATCTAGTTGAGGGTTTTCCTTTTTTTCTCTGACCATCTCCTAACATGTCCAAAGTATAAGAGATGAAGACTTGCCATCCTAGTTTCTAAAGAGCACTCTGGCTCTACCCCTTTCCAAGACATATCTATTTGTTCTTCTGGAAGTCTATGGTATTTTTAATATTCTTCACTAACATCATAATTCAAATGCATCAATTCTTCTGCTGTCTTCCTTATTCACTGTTCAACTTTCACATACATTTGAGGCAATTTGAAACTACCATGGCTGAGTCAGGTGCACCTTAGTCCTCAAACTGACTTATTTGCTCTTTAAGGCTTTAAAGAGGTCTGTTGCAGCAAATCTGCTTAACGCAATATGTTATTTGATTTCTTGACTGCTGCTTCCATGATTATTGATTGTGGATCCAAGAAAAATAAATTTGATCCAGTTGTGAGAATTCTATTTTTCTTTACACTGAGGTATAATCTATACTTAAAGCTGTAGTCTTTGATCTTCATCAGTATTTCAAGTCCTCTTCACTTCCCGCAAGCAAGGTTGTGTCATCTGAATATTGCAGGTTGTTAATGACTCTTCCACCAATCTTGATGTAACATTCTTCTTCATATAATCCATTTTCTTGGATTATATGCTCAGCATGCAGATTGAATACGTTTGGTTAAAGGATACAACCCTGGCACACAACTTACTGATTTTAAATCATTAAGTATCCCGTTGTTTTGTTGTAGTGATACTCTCTATGTACAGGTTCCTCGTGAGCACAGTGAAAAATTCTGGAATTCCTTTCGTTTGCAAACTTATCCATAATTTGTTATGATTAACAGTCTAATGCCAGTGCATAGTCAATAAAGCACAAGTAAACATCTTTCAAGTATTCTCTACTTTCAGCCAAGAGCCATCTGACTTCAGCAATGATATCCCTCATTCTGCGTCCTCTTCTGAATCCAGCTTGAATTTCTGGACGCTTCCTATTGATTTACTGCTACAACTGTTTTTAAAATTATCTTCAGCAGAATTTTCCTTGCATGTGAAATTAATGATATTGTTCAGTGATTTCTGCATTCTGTTTGGAATGGACACAAATATTAATCTCTTCTAACAAGTTGACCAGATAGATGTCTTCCAAATTTATTGGCATAGACAAGTGAATGCCTCCAGCACTACATCATTTTATGGAACCTTCAATATGTAATCTTTCTATTCCTAGACCCATGTTTTTCATGAACGCCTTCAGTACTACTTGGACTTCTTCCTTCAGTACTTTTGGTTCTTGATCCTATGCTATCTCCTGAAATGGTTGACCATTAACCAATTATATTTGGTACAGTGATTCTGTATATTCCTTCCACCTTCTTTTGTTGCTTTTTGAATCATTCAATATTTTTCCCATAGAATTCTTTAGTATTGCAAATAGAGACTTGAATTTTTTTATTTTTTTGTCAGCTCTTTCAACTTGAGAAATGCTGCATTTCCTCAGCATTTCTGTGTTCTTCCATTTCGGTTTTCTAACTCCCTATCTTAGCACATTTCATTATAATACTTAACTTTATCTTCTTGAGTTTCTTTTTGAAATTTTTTGGTAAGATCTTTTACTTTATGATTTCTTCCAGTCACTTTGTTGTTGTTGTTGTTGTTAAGTGCTGTCAAGTCAATTCCAACCCATAGCGACCCTGTATAGGGTTTCCGAGGAGCAGCTGGTGAGTCTGAACTGCCGACCTTGCAGTTCAAATGGCTTTGCAGTCTGGCACATTAACCCACAGTGCCACACCAGGACTCCAGTCACTTTAGGTTCCCTGAATTCAAGAGCAAGCTTCAGAGTCTCTTCCAACATCCATTTTGGCCTTTTCCTTTCTTTCCTGTCATTTTATTGACCTTTGGTTTTCTTCCTGTGTGATGTTCATATCATTCCACAACTCTTCAGGTCTTTAGTAAGTGTTTAATACATCATATCTGTTCTTCAGATGTCCTTAGCTCTGATGGGATATACTCAAGGTTGTATTTTTTACTCTTATGGACTTGTTTAAATTTTTTCAGTTTCAGCTTGAACTTGCATATAAGCAGTTGATGATCTGTTCCGCAGTTGTTCCCTGGCCTTGAAATTTTGGCTGATGATATTGAGCTCTATCATTTCTTGCCATAGATGTACTTACTTGGATTCCTGTATATTCCATCTGGTGAGGCTCACATGAGCTGAAATTGATTAATGACATGTATCAACAGTGTAAGTGAAGAGATCTACAACTGTATTATGAAGAGGTCTACTCACATGTGTAGACCCTGTCTCTGTTGTTGAAAAAAATATTTGCAATGCATAAATTATTGATATTACAAAATCTAAAATTTTTTCAACATAATGTCTTTCACAAAGGCCATAGTTTCCAACTAAAGTTTTGCTCGATTCATTTCACTAAGGTCAATTCTAGTTGGAAGAGGTATCTCTTCCCCTGTTGTAACTTGAGTGCCTTCCAATCTGAGGATCATATCTTCTGGCACTGTATCAGGCAATGTTCCACTGCTGTGCATAAGATTTTCAATTGCTATCTTTTGAGAAGTGGTCTGCCTTTCCTTATTCCTAGTCTGTCCTTGTCTGAGCTCTGCTTAAACCTCTCCACCATGGGTAACCCTCCTGGCATTTGAAACAACAGTGGCATAGCTTCCAGCATCACAGCAACACACAAGCTGCCTCAGTACAACAAACTGAATCTCCTCTCTCTCTGGTTTGAGCTAATTTTTGAATTATTGAATATCTAAGAACTTCTGTCTTTGGGAAAATTTAATAAAATCATAACATAATGTAACTGGGAAAAATGTCTGTTTAGCATTCAGTTATTTTAACTTTTTTATTCATAAAATGAAAGTTTTTTATCACGGTAAAAACCTTTTTGTTGTTGTTAAGTGCCATTGAGTTGGTCCCAACCCATAGCGACCCTGTGATAGGGTTGCCGAGGAGCAGATGGTGAGCTTGAACCACTGGCCTTGCAATTCAAGCTGACTTTACAGTCCAGCTTTAACCAATAGTGCAACACCAGGACTCCAAAAACCTTTTACCCTGACAAAAAAGACTCCATTGTGACACAATCATTAAGCACTCAGCTGCTCACCAAATGGTTGGCCCTTTGAATTTGCCAAGTTACTCCACAGGAGAAAAGACTTGGTAGATCTGCTTCCATGTATATTACAATGTAGAAAACCCTATGTGGACAGTTCTACTTCATCACACTTGGTCATTATGCACTGCAATTGATTAATGACATGTATCGACAGTGTAAGCGAAGAGATCTACAATTGTCTTATGCATTTAGTACTTTCAAACCGGTACCTTGAATAAATACTTAAACCTCTGGATATGCATATTTAATATGTACTGTTTTGAGAATTTCATGGAATGCACTTGTCACATTCTTCGTTAAAGAGTGAAGAGTAGCTCTTATTATTATTAGAGATGGGTGCTTGAGGCCCAGGAGAGCTCATGACAGAGCCAGCTCTTAAACTCATTCAGATGTCTGAGTTCGTAACAATCTGCTCTTAATTATTCACAGGATGGTAAAGGATTTCTGATATGTGGTTTTACATTGGCCTAGTGTTATGCTGTAGGATAATGCACTGGACTGCAAGGTTGATAGGAACTGCAAGGTCGGTGGTTCAGATTCACTAGCCACTTCCCAGAAACCCTATATAGGGTTGCTCTGGGTCGAAACCGACTCAACGGCACTTAATAACAACAGTTATTGGTAGAGGTGACAAGCCTCCTTCAGAAATTGATTCTAGACCAGCGGATTTCAGGCATGGCAGTCCTTTGTCATGTCTTGCTCACTTCCACTATTTTACTCTTCTCCCAATTCCTCCCAGGTGCCCTCTTTATTTGGGGTAGCAGCTAGTTTAATGTGTATCTAATGATTGAAAGAAAGAAAAGCAAAAAATACTTTATTTTTGGAAAAATATTACAAAATAATGAGGAAAGGCTAAAGAAAATATCATTTCAAGAAATACAAAAGGAAGTAAAACAGAGCCTCATTTAATTCTAGCTATTTACAAAACAAGCTCCTTTTGGGTAATAACTAACTGAATTTATTTGCAATGTTAGAAATTAAGAGTTCTTTTAACTATAGCATTATTACTGCTTGCATGGGGTCAATTCCATGGTTATTTTTCAAGAATATTGTTTTATGTTTGGAATAAATGGGATAAATATGAAGAGATGGGACTTTGATTTCCCAAAGAAGTACTAAATAATATTACTTGACTTTTAGGCCCCATGAAAATAAAACCTATCTTGCTGTGGGAAGTATGAAAATGTTAATGTTGAACGTGTCCTTGTTTAATGCTGGAGATGATGCCTATGAAACCACTCTTCATGTCAAACTACCCACAGGCCTTTACTTCATTAAGATGTTAGATCTGGTAAGTATAGAAACAGCCCTGGTGTTGTAGTGCTTAACGTGCGTAGCTGCTAACCAAAAGTTAGCAATTCAAATCCACCAGCTGCTGCACCAGGCTTCCATAAAAATTTACTGCCTTGAAAACACTTCAGAATAGTTATTCTCGGTCTTATGGGATCACTATGAGTAACTGACTTGACTACAATAGAACTTTGTGTGTTTCTTTTGAAATAATGAAAGCTATGATACAATAACATGATACCTACTCATACTTAATATTTTACTGATTTAAAAAAATTTATATAAAGTGAATAATTTACTCCAATATTTGTGGGATTAGAGTTAATGTTCAGGCTTATCACTTAGGTTCCCAGTTACTTTGAAACTTCTTCCATGGCTCTGCTCAGTAAGCAAGCTCTTTGGAATCTGACTAAGACCAAAAAGAGTCAGCTTCCTGCGCCCTAATGTCAGGAAGAGAGAAAAAATGAGCCAATTATCAAGGAAGGACTTTTGGGTGCCATTGTTTTGCTTACTGTCACATCCTCATCTGGTGCTGTAGTGATGCCCTGTTGGTTGGGATCCTTGCAAAAGCAGAAGGAATGGTTGTCCATGTTAGGACTTCTGGAGTCAGTGCTCTTTATTTAAGTTTACATGCACAGGCTTGTTCTCAAAGAACTTCCAACATGCGTACACCAGCAATTCTCCACAACTTTCCACATCCTGGTGTCAAGCCAGGTTGCCAGACAGTGTCTCTTTTCTTGAATGAGTTGAATCACTTAAAGCCCATTTCTTATTACCATGTTTCAATCGTGAGCATTTAAGTTCATCAAAACCAAGCTAAACGTGCTGCCATACATTCGATTTTGACTCTGAACAGCGTTTCTGAAGGAACTCTGGTATCCTAGTGGTTACGATTTAGGCTGCTAACATCAAGTTCAGCAGTTCGAAACTACGGTCCATGGAAGAAAAATGAGGCTTTCTGCTCCCATAAAGTTTTACAGCCTCAGAAACCCTATGCAGGGTCTCTATGAGTCGGAACTGACTCAAAGGCACACCTGCACCACCACTATAGCGTTTCTGAGGCTGTTAATCTTTATGGAAACAAGGAAGTCTCATCTTTCTTCCATATAAACTGCTGACCTTGAAGTTTGTAGCCCAGTACTTATCCTATAGTGTTCCTTTTAAACGACAGTGAGGTCTTGTTGTTGTTAAGTGCCGTTGAGTCTAATCTGATTCAGTGACTCTTTGTCAGGCTTTTGAGGCTATAAATCTTTGTGGGAGCAGAAAGCCTCATGTTTCTCCCACAAAGTGACTGGTGGGCTTGAACCACTGACCTTGTAATTTGCAGTCCACTGTTTATCCTACAAAGTCACTGCACTCCTAAATGTTTCTAAGAGGAAAGCCTCAATCGCTTTTACCTCCTTTGATGCTTCTTTATCCCTTAGCAAATTTACGGTTGTTTTATCTAGGGACCACCTCTTTGAGAGCGGCCTTTGACCACTCAGAATATGCTTTACTCCCTTTCTCTAGAACATAAAGAGCCTATTTGCAAAAAGTAAGAGGAAAAACTCAAGTATTCTAAAAAACTCCAAAGATAAATGAATAATAAATTTGCTCACGTGCAACTTACTGACCCATGTAGCAAACATTTTCCAATATTTTGTATACAATGCTTTATCTTCACCTGTTAACACCAACTGTGATTACAGTTATTGTGATTCAATCATTTAAGCACATTGCTATATCCCAGACAGAGGGATCCAATGCGATCTGGACCTTAAGAAAGTCCTTGCCTCATGATTTTTCCAGAAATTGAAGCTTGGATTTAAAAAGGAGCACACAAAATTGGGTGAAAATTTTATCCAGGAATTATTTTATGGAGAACTTATCTATTTCTATCTGGTTTTTATCCCATATGGAAACATAAAATGCTTTTCTAAGAAAATCAACAGTTTGGGAATGTTTTCGATTCTTTTTTTATTTTCTACAAGTCCTTATGTATGTGTTACAACCAGTTATTTTATTTTTACCTTTAGGAAGAGAAACAAATAAACTGTGAAGTAACATACAACTCGGGCATAGTGAAACTTGACTGTGATGTTGATTATCTATATGTAGATCGTCTATCAAGGGTAAGACTTTAGCATTTGTAGTTTACTAACTATATATGCTACTATATTTACTAACATAATTGTAAAATATTTTCTATTTTTCCTTGTCATTATGTTGCATACAAACATATATACATATGTGTTTATACATATATATGGAGTCCTGTTGTAGCACTGCAGGTTAATATACTGGACTACAAAGTCGGCTTGAACCACAAGGTCGGCAGTTCAAGCTCACCAGTCACTTGAAACCCTATACAAGATCGCTATGAGTAAGAACCAACTCAACAGCACTTAAAAACAGCAAACATTTTTAGCATATGCATATATTAGTATATGTATTTCCATATGTATATTTTGCTTATGATAGGTAGCTAAGTGATGAAATAAAAACAAAAATCAAGTGGGCTGGAATTCTTGGAAACTGTGTTTATATTCTTAGCAATATTCACTGTAAAAAAAAAAGTGGGGGGCACATGTTTATGATGAGATGGGCATGTCAATGTGTCACTCAGCATACTGTTACCCTTACTCACCCTTACCCAACATTCCCCATCTGGCCCCAGGTGGTCCTATCTGCCAGGCATGTTACCTCTGCTATACAACAAGGTGTTTTTTGGCAAGAGTCCTCACTCAAGTTGCGAAAGCTTTGCTAATGTTGTCAGTCTGGACCTGACTGCCTTTATTGCCAAAGAAGGCTTTGTCTCTGAATTTTATTGTGTAGATGCTTATACTTTAAAACTGCCACAGATCCAATAGCTTCTCCAGACCTTACTGCCAGTGAAAGCTGGCTTAAACCACTAGAACAAAGCTCTAACTTCCACATCACATATGTATCAAGAAAAATTGAAACTGTTTTAAAATATTCTTTTAGATTAAGAAAAAAAGTGGGTTTTCCTTCTCTGTGTTTTACAGCTAGATATTAGCTTTCTCCTGGATGCAAGCTCGCTCACCCAAGCAGAAGATAATCTCAGTATCACTGTGCAGGCTGCCTGGTATGTTCTGTCATAAAAACAATAATTGTACCATAACAAGTGCACCCCCACATTTTAGGGGAGGCTCTTAGTATAACCATATAGCTGTATCCCATAAGTGTCTGTTGGAGAAAACTTTTATTACATTATTTGTAAAGCAAACAAAAACAAAACCTCTAACCAGCAGAGAAGCAAATGATAGCAGTTCAAAGAAAGAGAGTAAACTTCTACGAACTCTGTCACAAAAATGACTTCTTTCTACCACATTTACTTTGATCCCTTCTCCCTCCCCCAAAATATGTTGTTAAAACAAATCTCTGAAGACATCAGGCATTATGATACGTAATTAGCTTTCTCAGAAAATGATTTGTTGTGCTTGATGGAATCTAACAGCATTTTCTGTTTGCTTCTATAGTGAAAATGAAAAGGAAATAGACATTCTAAAGAATAATGAAGTGACTTTAACAATACCTCTAAAGTATGAGGTGATGTTGACTGTTCATGGGTAAGTAGAGTGTGAGGCCTCTTGTAAAGTTTAGTTGATTTTAAATTCCACTGCTTTTTACATTGCTGGGTTAAACATATATATATTTTTTTAAATTAAAGGGTATTATACTATGCCAGGAGTCCTGGTGTGGCACTGTGGGTTAATGCACCAGACTGCAAAGCCTTTGAACTGCAAGGTTGGTGGTTCAAGCTCACCAGTCACTCCTCAGACACCTTATACAGGGTCGCTATGGGTCGGAACTGACTCAACGGTACTTAACAACAACAACAGTACTATGCCTGTCTCTTAACAATTATCCTGGTGTCGTCATAGTTTGTTTGTTGTTGCTGTGTGCTGTCCGGTCAATTCTGACTCTTAGAACCAGAGTAGAACTGCCCTATTGTGTTTCCTAGACTGTAATCCTTTCTAAAGCAATAGAGCTGTAGGATGGCTTCTAATCATCGACCTTTTGTCTAGCATCTGAGTGCTTAACCATCGCATCACTAGGGATCCTTATCCCTTGCTTGTTGTTAAGTCTCATCAAGTCAGTTGTGACTCACAGAGACCCGGTATAGGATTTCCAAGAAGCAGCTGGTGGGTTTGAACCACAACTCTATACCAGGATTACTGTTCCTTGTTTAGCTGTTTGTTGTATTAATCCACTCTCAAATACGTGCCTGGATTACTGTTCCTTGCTTAGTTGTTTGTTAATTTAATCCACTCTCAAATAAGTGCCTGGAGGAAGATTTACTGGAAGACCACTTGGGTCTCTAGCAGACCACATTCATCTTTTCAGTTTTACACTGGGCAGACACACGGTATTGGGTAGTGCACAGTTTCTGTAACCATACTCAGTAATGGCAGCAAGTATGAAGTACTGAGTAGTGTGAGCTTGGCCAAATCATCAGTCTCCAGAACTCATGTCTGCTTATGTGGCAAAGGTCTTGAAGTATAAGAGAGCCAGCTTTGTACCATTGCCTTCACTTCATACTACATATGACATTTTCTGAATTGTTCAACTAAGACTCAAAAGCCAGCATTCATTGATTCCACACAATATTAGTAATTGTTTGAGTGGATCTTCAGATTTAAGATGTAGATGTGTAGAACAAGAATGAAAGAAAGAGTTAAGAAGTGTTAAGTTATTTCATTGGAATTTAATCTGGCTATTAGTTATTGTTTTAAAACACAGTTGTAAAACAATGGAGGAAATTAGATACAGAACAAATAGCTAGATGAGCACTTTAATATAGCCAACACCAAAAATGAAAGGTTGGCAGTGCAAACCCACCCAGAGTCTCTACAGGAGATAAACCTAGCAATCTGCTTTGGTAAAAAGTACAGCACTAGCGTTGTGGGTTAATGCGCTGGTCTACAAGGTTGGCTTGAACCGCATGGTTGGTGGTCCAAGCTCACCAGTCACGCCTTGGAAACCCTATGAGTCGCTACGACTAGTCAGAACTGACTCCACAGCACATAACAAAAACACGTGTCTTCAACGTATTCCATAGTTACTCTAAATATATTATAATCCAAATTATTAAGACTATTTGTAACACCTCGTCAAATAAAAGAGTTAAATTTTCATTTCTTTCTGTCAGGTTCGTTAACCCAACTTCGTTTGTTTATGGATCAAATGAGGAAAACAAACCTCAAATGTGCCTGACAGAGAAAATTAACTTCACTTTCCATGTAAGAAAAATTGATTGTGTAGATATTTGTAATAGACTGAAATATTGTTACCTTGCATTACTCCAGGGGAGCTCAGCAAGTCCCCTCAGCCTTGGTGCCCACATGGCTAAGGGTGGGAGGGGTCTATAACCTGTGGTATTCATGCCCTTTCCTCTTATGCTTTTCTTTCTTTCCTCCCATTGTCTTGTCCCTGGTCCTCAAGCCCATGCCTTCTTCCAAAATGGGTTATAAGGAGTAAGCAGGAACTAGAGATAATGTTTATAAAAGGCAAAGGGATGCATTTAACTGAATTAGCCAAAGATGCATACAGAAAAACAGGATCCGTCAGTGCATCTTTGGATGTAAATTAATGAAATCTCTTCTCAGTAAAAGTTCTTTAAAGACCATAACATTACCAAGTAAAGGAAGCTCTCACCTCCCCACCTCACCGTGTAATGTCTTCTTTGTCTGCCTTTTAGACCATCTGGTAGCGTAGTGGTTACGAATCGGGCTGCGAACCTTAGGATCAGCAGTTCAAAACTACCAGCTGTTCCGTGGGAGAAAGATGAGGCTTTCTGCTCCCGTAAAGATTTACAGCCTCTCAGAAACCCTGTACAGGGTTGCTATGAGTCGGAACAGACTCCACGGCAGATAACAACAACAATATGACCTATGATAAGGGATTCATCATTTATTACATAATCTTTTAAACATTTAAGTAGGTCTAGCTCTGGTAGTATAGTGGTTACAAATCGGGCTGCTAACCTCAAGGTCGGCAGTTCGAAACTACCAGTGGTGCCGTGGGAGAAAGATGAGACGTTCTGCTCCCGTAAAGATTTACAGCCTCGGAATCCCTTTGCAGGGTCACTATGAGTCAGAACCGACTCCATGGTACTTAACAATCACCAAACAGGAGTCCTGGTGTGATGCTGTGGGTTAATACACCAAACTGCAAAGTCATTTGAACTGCAAGGTCAGCAGTTCAAGCTCACCAGCTGTTCCTCAGAAACCCTATACAGGGTCACTATGGGTTGGAACCGACTCGACGTCACTTCACAACGACAACAACAATCACCAAACAAATAACAAATGTTGGTGAGGATGTGAGGAGATAGGAACCCTTATCCATTGCTAATGGGACTATAAAACAATACAACCACTATGAAAAATGGTATGGTGCTTCCTCAAAAATCTAGAAACAGAACTACCCTGTGATCCAGCAGGCTCAGTCCTAGAGACCTAAAGGGGTGACAAGAATAGACATATGTGCACCTGTGTTCATCATAGCTTTATATCCACTGAAGTGTCCACCAGTGCATGAATGGATAAACAGAATGTGGTATGTACATACAATGGAATATTCTGAAACCATAAGGAAAAATGGCGAGTCTGAAAAACATCATAATATGATGGGCCTGGAAGACATAGATTAATGAAATAAGTCAAGCACAAAAGGATAAATATTGTATGTTCTCGCTTTTTAAGAATACATGAATAGATATAAAGAGACCAGGGTTCATTGGTGGTTAGAAAGGAGAGGAAGAAGAGAGGGGAAAGCACTCTTTGGACCAGAGATATTTGTTATTTTTGGTGATTAGATAAGTGGCATTAAATATAGGTATAATGAGCACAGCATGTCCAAAGTAAGTGATGTCACTGAGATACACGCAAGAGAAAAGGATGACCATACTAAAGAATTTGACATATATAAGATGGCAACAAGACCAAAAGCAGATTATATGATCATATATGAATGAAGATGGGCATATAGCTCATATAACTGCATGAGTACATAAGTGAGAAAAACAGTATCTATGTTGTTGTTGCTTAAGGGTCATTGAGTTGGCTGCAACTCCGAGCAACCCTGCATAGGGTTTATGAGGAGCAACTGGTAGGTTTGAACGACCACTTAATGGTTACCAGTCAAGTGTTTATCCTTCAGCGCCACATCAGGACTCCATTACCTGTATGTATGTGTAAATACAGATTAATGTGTATATATTGAAGACATAACCACAGATACTCCTCAGACATAACCAAACATCTTCCAAGACTGATGTTCTAAGTTTGAAAAGGTATGATCATAATCTCACAGGGCAACTCATGTCAATTGGTATAATAGAGTTAGCAAAGTTCATGCTCTGTGTGGGTCCTAGTGAATTCAGTAGTATAGGGATTCTTAAAACCTTACCTTTGGCCATATAGGATGCAACTGTTGATCTCTATTTGTCAGGAGTAAAAGAATAAGAAGTTAACCAAAATCTTAGAGAAAAAACAATCTATAAGTCTGATAACGTACCTGGGCCATGTCCTCATCTACCCTGAGCCCAGGACAATTAGATGGTGCCTGAGTATCAACACTTAACATTCTGATGAGGATCACACTAGATGGTCCTGGATAGAATGCAAAACCCAAATTCCTTAAAGAGACCAAACATACTGAACCAGTTGAAACCAGAAGACTCCTTTACACTAGAGACCAAAAGTTTAACATTTACTTAAAAACAAAGATGGGGGGAGGAAAGCTAGAATATTGCAAATGAAACAACCAGAATACAATTAAAGAGAATGTTCACACATTGTGAAAAATATAATTGATGTCACTGAACAATTTGTGTAGAAGTTGTCAAGCAGGAACCTATTGTCTGTGCAAACTTCCACCATAAAACAATAAAATATTTAAGAATCAATAAAACTGTCATCATCCAGAGTATTAACATACTAATATAAAACTTTTAAAAGTCTTTTTAGTTTAAATTTTGCTACTAATCTCTGGTTTTGGGGTGCACTACAGATACTGATGACCAATTAGTAAGAAAGATATTATATACTTTTAGAGTTATACAATAATTTATTGAATGTGAGCAAGTTTGTTGTGTTAAGTGCTGTCAAGTCGGTTCCGACCCATGGTGACCCTGTATAGAGTTTCCGAGGTGCGACTGACCTTGCGGTTTAAACTGACCTTGTGGTCCAGCATATTACCTGATGAGGCATTGCTTTTCAAAATGTATGTCAGAATTCCATAGAAAGCTTATCCATAATGGAATTCCTGGGTCCTACTCCAGAAAAATAGAACAATCTTGAAATCCTATTGATTCTACATATGCTGAATTTTTATTATACTGGTACCCACTAGTGCTGGGGTAGTATTATAACAAAAATTAGGGAAGGGAGGAGGGAAAAAGCTCCTTCCCTCTACCTTGAAGACACAGGGATTGCTTTTCTCAGGGCACAGTGGAGGGTTGTACTCTGATAAATTGAAGTAGGCACTGAACTGGACTCTAGAAGCCTGTTTAGTAACTTATAATTAATATTTAAGCATTTTATGTCACACCGGAGTGACTGGGACTGGGGGTACTTGCAGTTGATAGGCTTGTTTAGCCTGCCCAACTATAAAGATGTTCATGGAGATCTAAATGTTTTTTGATGTACAGGGATGGAGGTATCAGAGAAGACCTTGACAATGAACCTGGGCACTGCTAGGTACATACTGCTGACATTTTCTTTTGCAACTTCCCTGTGCTTCCATGTGTTAGCACCAGCTCCCAAACCCAAGGGTTTTCTCTTTCTGCAACTATATCTTATGAATTCAAAAGATTCATGTAGGTCGGCAAGTCATCCTATTTCATTTAGGCATTGTACACATCTCTTTTTTGACTCATTGTATTGATTCTATACTTAAACTTTTGTTGTACTTAGTGGTGTGGGATGGTGTGATGCTGTGGGCTAATGTGTCAGACTGCAAAGTTGTTTGAACTACAAGGTTGGTGGTTCAAGCTCGCCTGCTGCTCCTTGGACACCCTATACAGGGTCGCTATGGGTTGGAACTGATTCGACGGCACTTAACAACAAGTGCAGTAGAGTCACTTTCAACTCATAGCAACCCTGTATAGGGTTTCTAAGGAGCAGCTGGTGAGTTCAAACCATTGAGCTCGTGGTTCAAATCGTCCTTGTAATTCTGTGCTTATCCTACAATGCCACACCAGAACTCCAGGATTTTGACCCAATTCTCTTTTTCATGGAGTAGAGGAAACTTCTTTGTAATCCCTAAATATGTCAGTAATACTGAAATATCACCTTCTTGTGCAATTTTTGAAAAATATTCTTATAATCCAGGTCTCTTTTCCCTAAAACCGAATGATCTATCCTTTGTGATTTTCTGAGTACATTAGCATATTAATTCCCCTACTAAGAAATATACTTTTATTCACTTAGTTCTGATAGCTATCATCTCGACACAATGATTTTGTGAAAAGATCATAGGATTTAGATTTAGAAGACATAGGTTTTAGTTCTAACCCTAGTCACTTTTTATCTTTCATCTTAGACACATCATTAACACCTCTTAGCATTCTCCTTAGTTGAAGAGTGAAATGCTGGCCTACATCAGAGAAGAGTTATGATGATTAATTGATCATGGTTTCTTAAATACATCAGTCTTCACATTATGGCCAAATTAATACAAAAAGAGAAAAGGCTAAGAATAATTGCTAAACTTCAACTTAATAATTGCTAAACTCAAATTCTTACTATGGGTGTCCTCTATCCCTTTGTAGTGGAAGCTGCCAACTGAAAATCTCCACCACTTCAAGTGTTATGTGGGACATTTGGATTTGCCTAAAAGATCACTGATATCCGTACTTTCACTTATAGAAAATATTTTTAAATTGTTTTTAAATTTTTCATTCTTATCAGGTTATCAATGCTGGTCATAGCATGGCTCCAAACGTTAGTATGGAAATAATGATACCAAATTCTTTCATTCCACGCACTGATAAGCTGTTCAACATCTTGGATGTGCAGGTATAAGTGTATTCCTTCCACCATGAACTTACTATATGTGTCTTAAATAAATGTAGACCAATCCTTTATTCTAAATAGTATTGCTAGACTAAAACTTTCTAATCAGTTAATTTCAGTCAAATTTACTCTATGAATTTACTGAGACCTCACCATGCATTTATGGAGAGTACTTTGAATATTATGCAATGCCTTAGAACTCAAATTACAGTGAGACCTCTACACTTGATTTACACAAAACAGAACTAAGTTCTGCAACCTCTGTTGAATAATTATTTTGGATATATTTTTTATGGTATTTTATCAATTAAATTAATCTTTATATGGAAACTATATTCATATCACTTTTGAAGAATCAATATTCTTAAAAAAGAAAATAGAATCAATGTTCTTGATTGATGTCTCCACCAGAATTGCTTTAATTTCCCAGTTTTAAGACAATGAAAAATTAAACTTAGTTGTTTTGAAATTTGAATATTTTGAAACTTTTGCTTGAACTTTAGATTTAAATGTTGAGACATGCTGTTGTGTTATTGTTTTGTTTTGCTTACAGCCAAATAAGTGTTTCATTTCATCTCAATGTTCAGATATAATTGTTTCAATTGTCTTAATTTATGTAGGGATAAGGCCATTTTAATGTTTACGTCATGTATCCAGCCCCCTATAACTTTTCTGATTTTGTTTGCCTGTTTATGTTTTTAACCACAGAGACTTAATCTCTCTGAAATAAATCTGTCACAGTTTCAGGTATACTTCATATATTTTAGAAAAGATAATCAATGATATTTTTAAACCCATGTAGTTTTTGTTACTTTTTTTCAATATTGAATTCTTGTTCTTTTCTTTTTATCTTGATAGTCAACTTCTGGAGAGTGTTATTTTAAAAATTATCAAAGAGAGTGTTTGCAGAAGCAGAAGAGTGCAATGGAGACCATGAAAGACATATTCACATTCTTGTCAAAGTCTGATAAGAGGATATTGGTGAGTTTCAAATGTTCAGATTTTAGTTATATTTCTAACATAGAGCTAAGCACTGAAAGCATCATTGAGTTTGAGTGGCAGGAGAGAGCACAACATTGAGTGATATTCTTGCATGTGAGGAACAGACATGATTGAAGGGTTCAGGTAGACTCCAGGTAGACTCCCACTGCCATCGGGTACATTCTGATTCATAGAGAACCTGTATAGAGTTTCCAAAGCTGAATATCTTGGTTGTTGTTGTTAAGTGCTGTTGAATTGGTGCTCTTCGAGTTTCCAAAGAGCAGCTGGGGTTTTGAACCACTGGCCTTATGGTTCATAGTCTAGTGCTTTATGCCACACCAGGAACATAAAGCCTCATTTTTCTCCTGATTAGTGGCTGGTGGTTTTGAACTACTGGTCTTGTAGTTCCGAGTCCAGTGCACATCCTAAATAATGTCCATTATACCCCAGACAGACATTGCTGCTGACCTTTCAGGAAACCAAGATTCTGTCTTCATCTGGTCAACCTTTGTGACATGAGATTAATATCCATTCTTTTTTTATTTTAACGAATTTCTGGAAAGAAACTGAGGAAACAATATTATTTTAAAATAATCCCAGTTTTACAATTAACATAAAATAAGTCACTGAGCAAAAGTCTGATTAGGAGTCTTTCTTTTAATTTTTTCCAGAAGGTTACAGTCATAAGAATAATGAGAATAAACATATAATCCAGTTCAAATAATTTACAAAACATTTGTATTTTGTTTAGAGTAAGAGAAATTTTTGAATGCCACTAAGTAAAGCAGAGTTTTCATTCTAAGCAAAATATTTTAGCTATATTTTTAAGATCTGAAAGTTTTACATGAATTCAGTGCTTGTATTAATGTAGTACTTTTGTACTCTTTTCAAGTATTGCATGGTAGGTGATCCACATTGTTTGCATTTCTTATGCAACTTTGGGAAAATGGAAACTGGGAAAGAAGCAAGTGTTCACATTCAGTTAGAAGGTCGACCATCTGTATTAGAAATGGTAAGTCAAAATACCAATTTGTGATAATTTTGTGGATAAATTCATACAGACTCTAGAAATCCACCCATTTTATATAGGTAGAATAGTAGAGAGGGGCAGTCAACAAATTGAGAATGAAAGAAAGTAAAATTTGGAGGAAAACTCTAAAATTGTTTTCATTTACCACTTCAACAGTCTAAATTTATTGAATGATATGATTTTAGCAATTAAGCAGATAATTTATACTATAAAATAGGAATAATTGAGAAGTTTATTTTGTTAGTATATCTATTTAGAAAGCTTGCTGATTTCCAATGAACCCTTCTCAAATAAAAGAAATTAGCCATCTTTACATTTCATAGTTCTTTCCAAATTCCTTTATATTATACTTAAGATCTTGTATTTTATTTAATAAAACTGAGTAAAATTAAGACTCACAGAATCAAACTAAACATCAAAATTCATCGACAGTAACAAAAAACACAATAACTAAAGTACACTTCAAAATATGAATTTTGAAAGGTTGAATAAAAAATAAATACATCTTGCACTAAGTTCTAGGAAGGAGCGTATACATTTATGAGGAGTACTTTGAAATGGAACTGGTCTTTAACCTTAGCTCTGGGTTCTGTTCTTCCTCAAAGATAAGTAATGTCTGTTTCTCAGGGGTTTGCAGATGAAATGAGATGATTTTTATAAAACACTTAGTAATATATGCATGGCACACTGAAAGCCAAAGGAAATGATTTATTATGATGAGCTAAGAGGAATATTTGACCTTACTGTGAAGTACAGTGGTCACAAGGGGAATGTGCCACACAGGGAAATAAGAGATATCAGTTCTAGTTCCAACTAGGATCATCAACAAGTCATCCAACATTTGTGAGTTTTATTCAGACTGACACTATTGATATTATGGGCCAGTCTCTTCTGGGAGAGGGAGAACTTGTTCTGTGCATTTAGCAGCATCTCCAGATTCTACTCATTACTTAGAAATAAAATGAGTCCCAAATAAAATGGATTTGAGGAAATGTTTATAAGATGAGGAAAGTTTCATTTGGGCATAAATTCAATATCTAGAGTAAAAATGCAGTGGTATACTAGATATCTTCATTTTACTGTAGTCTATGAAATAATATTTGTCAAAAGTTAGCTTCAAAGTAGCCATATTTGATATGAGTTTCAACAAAATGATGCCATAAGAACAAAAGGAAGTATTGCAATTAATTACAAGTAGTAAAATAAATTAGGGAAGATAAATTGTAGAAACCTTGATAGTAGGCAAATAATTTATGCCTTTTAATGTTTCTTCATGAAATAAAACTGTAGATAAGGATAAAATGATCTTCCTTTTATTAAACAGGATGAGACGTCAGCACTCAAGTTTGATATAAGAGCCACAGCTTTTCCGGAGCCAAATTCAAAAGTTATTGAATTAAATAAAGATGAGAATGTTGCACATGTAAGAATCATTCCTTTTTTAACTGGTGCAGTAAGATTGTAAAGAAATAGCATTGTTGTTGTTATCTGTAGTCAAGTTGGTTCCTACTCATAGCAACCTTGTATAGGCTTTCCAAGGAACAGCCTGTGAGTTTGTGGTTTGAAGTCAAATGCTGATCCTACAGGACCACACCAAGGAGCCTGAAACAGCATTCCTGGTGTGTTTATAATCACCTTTTATTGAGTGCATGATTGTGGCCAGATCATCGAAGGCCTTGAATAATACTTCAGATTGGCATTTTCCACAACTGGTAGGAGGCTCAGTCTACAGTTCTGGGAGGTGAATTTGATAACAGTGATGATAAAAGGATGGATCACAGGAACAACCAGAGGAAAAGCCCATTTTGTTCTCTGACAACTTCCAATGTTATATATGACTCTCTTTGTTGTTGTTAAGTGCCATCGAGTTGGTTCCGACTCATAGAGACCCTGTACAGGATTTCCAAGGAGCAGTTGGAGGATTTGAATTGCTGATCTTGTAGTTCGAACTCCAATGTTGACCCTAAAGTGCCACACCAGGAGTCCATGACTCTTAGAAGCAGCAAATGTATAGGATGAGTTCTTCTAAATAGTACTGGGGATTATGATAAGCTTCAAAGGGAATATAATCAAGTTTTTAAATTGGTATTTTGTTTTTATTTTACTTCCTATAGGTTTTACTTGAAGGATTACATCATCAAAGACCGAAACGTTATTTCACTATAGTGCTTATTTCAAGTAGCTTATTAATTGGACTTATATTACTTTTATTGATTTCATATGTTATGTGGAAGGTAAGTCTTCACTAATTACTGACATTACATCACTTAAAATTATTTTATTTTCTCAAAGTCAATTTATAGTTCCTTTATTAAAAAGTCACTCTATTTATATGTATTTCAATGTTAATTTTTAAATTCCTTAGTGAATACATAGTACTAATCTCATATTTCCCATAAGTTCAATACCAAAGCCTTTCTAGAAAAATATGCCTTCTTAATAGAAGATAATTCATTTCCAACAAGTACTCATTATTTTGAAAGTACTTTAGAAATGCCTTTGAAGACATTGCACATTCTATTGAATGTCAGTTTGTTGGGGGGAAGGAGGGAGATGTGAAAGAGAGGGGGAGAGAAAAGGAAGAGGAAGATGGATATATGACTGAAAAGTCTTGTAGCAACAACAAAAACAACAAAATGATTCTTTAACCCAATATTTCCCAAACTAATTTTTACTAGTTACAACTGTTAAAAAAGCCTAGTATCACAAGGGCTGTGGTATAAGAAATATTGGTGTTGACCATCTAGATATCTGGTACAGTTGTCATATGTTTATAACTGTATACTATTAACTATGCAATGCTATTTCCAGGCTGGCTTCTTTAAAAGACAATACAAAGCTATACTGCAAGAAGAAAACAGAAGAGACAGCTGGAGTTACGTGAACAGTAAAAGCAATCATGAGGATTAAAGACTCCTTTCAAACTGAGAGAACTGATGATACACTCAGGTCATACTAAAAATATTGAAGACACTGTTTACAAGACATGAATTTTGCTCAGACTTCTTCCATGTACTTCCAGGATATTTTATGCCTTAATGAAAGTGAAAAATACCAGTCATGATTGCTCTTTGAGAAAAAATGACTAAAAAAGTAATATTTAACACACAAAGATAATCTTTCAGATATTAAATGGAGAGAAAAACACTAAAGCATCCAATGCATTCAAGATAAGTAAACCCTAGAAAATATCTGGAAATGAAATGAATTGAATAGTATTGAGGAAGTATACAACTTGATTGGTGAAATCTTGGACTTGAAATATCTTTCCTTTCAAGGAAATATTAGTTGCCATAGCATGCTTATCTTGGTAAAATATACTCCATGTAATGGGCAATGATTGTTTTCAAATACATCTTTGAAACTAGTTTAAAATACGTCCTTTAAAAATACTCCACAGAATCGAGACTCCAGAAATTAACCCATCTACATATAGCCAACTGATTTTTGACAAAACACCTAAATATATCACATGGGGAGGTGATAGTCTCTTCAACAGATGGT